AATGTGTGAGTCCTTGAGTACTGTCAAAAAAATAATTAGAGCTTTCTTTCCTTTACCAATCCCTCATTAATTTTATTTATATAATGTGTTAAAATAAAATACATGATATTTCACCAAATGCTACCACGGGCAGCCCTTTCAAGGAGGTTCCTGTGTCCTTGGGGATGTGGACCTATTTGATATGTCAGCTCTGCTTTGTGGTACAATTTATCCAAGGCTCACCTTGCATTTTCCTTGTCCTAGACTAGGAATAAGACACTCATTCTTTAAGCCTCTCTGGATCTTTTCAAAAAAGAATAATATTTAGCCAAGAGCTGAGCATGAGTGTGTTCATTGCCATTTTTAGGAAGAATTATTGCAAAGGTAGGTCAGTAAAGAGAGAGTTTTTGTGTGTTTTTATTTTTCATAAGGACTCCAAACTGACATTTCCAATGTAACATTAATATGACAGAACTTTTTGTTTACACAGGGCCTCAACCATGCAAAGCAAGCGCTCTACCACTGAGCCACCTTCCCAGCCCAAACTGAATGATTCTTAAAACTTGTTTGCAGTAGGGCACCAGTGGCTCACACTTGTTATCCTAGGTACTTAGGAGGCTGAGATCTAAGGATCATGGTTTGAATCTATGAAACTCTTATCTCCAATTAACTACCAGAATACAGGAAGAAGAGCTGTGGCTCAAAGTGGTAGACCACTAGTCTTGAGCAAAAAAGCTCAGAGACAGAGCTGAGGCCCTGAGTTCAAGCCTAATGACCTACAAAAACAAAAAAACAAAGAAACCCTAAAAAACAACTTCTTTGCAGCTCCCCTTGGTTTTAGTCCATCTCACTTAGGATGAGTCAAAGAACCATGAGAAGTTCTCTGGAACAACTGAGTTCTCTATGTAATTCTACTCTCAAGCAGATAAGCATTTGTTTTTTCCTACTCAGAATCAGGGTTTATAAGATTTCCTTTTCTATTTTATATTATTTGGGGAATATTAGTATAAAATATTAATATTACTTGTGATATAGTGATATAATATTTTATTATTTCATTATATGTTTATGTTATTATATAATAATATAATTATATTAAATATATCTGTGTATACTTTATTATTATATTTTTTCATTGATTATATATAATGAAATATATACTATATCCTATAAAATAATAACTATTTATATAGTGATGTTATTAGCAATAATTTTATTATGTAATAACATTAATATCATTAGAAATAGCAATTTATATAATAATATAGATAATACTGATTATATAATAATGTATGATGGGGGCTGGGAAGGTGGCTCAGTGGTAGAGTGCTTGCCTTGCACGGTTGAGGCCCTGGGTTCGATTCCTCAGCACCACATTAGCAATAAGAAAAAAAGCCAGAAGCGCTAGCCTTGAGCTGAAGAACTGAAGGACAGCACCCAGGCCCAGAGTTCAGGCCCACGATTAGACCAAAAAAAAAAAAGTATGATGATATTCACATTAGAAGTAATATTGGTTAACAATATATAATAGCATTAATATTATTACAAATGACATTGATTATTTGAAAGTTATTTGAATATAAGATAACATTACTAGAAATAGTATTAAATATTATTATTTGAATAGTCCAATTTAAAGAGTTAAGTTGAACAAATCCAGTTATTATCCCTATCCTCTCCACACTATTTTCCATCTACTCCTAGTTGGCATTTTCATTATTTCTATTCAGTCATATTTTCTATATCTTTGTAAAGGGTATAAATCAATGATTTTTAGTATATTGACAGAGCAGTACAAACTCATACACTAATTCCTGAAGTTTTCATTACTCCGTAAGAACTTGAAACTCCATAGTTATTATCAGTCACTCCCCATATATTCCTACCCTTACCAGCCCTTGAACCCACTCATTGACTTTTTGTCCCTATAGAGTTGACATTTCATATGAATACAGTCATATACATATGTCTATGTGTTTTCAAGGCTATCCATGCTATAGCATGTACTGGCAGCTCATTCTCCTATATGACCAGATACTACCCCATTGAAGGAAGATACCACATGTTTATCTACTGATCTACTGATGGAAATTTGGATTGTTTCTACCTTTGAACAACTATGAATAATGCTGCCATAATATCTATGATAAACTACATATGGAAACACATTCACTTATCTTGGGTATATATAACTTGGAGAAGAATTCCTGGGTCATGTGTTAACTACAGCTAACTTTTGGAATCATTAAGTTTTGCTTTTTAACCATATTGTGCTTTGGTCATCAAAAATGGGTAAATATTTGTGCATATTCATATTTTTATTTTTCTTATTTTTTTACCAAAAAAGCTAGGATATGATATCCTCTGGTTTACACTTTGAATTTTTTGTTGCTTGTTTCATATATGTAATGCATCATACAAATTACAACTAAAACAAACTTCATAGAGATCTTTCTCAATCTATTTTTTTTAATGACTGCATAATACTACTATGAGGGCAGTAGGAAATGAAGGCAAATACATCCTGCTTTACTTGGCAAATCCTTATAGTTACACACTAGTGTTGTTTCCAATCTAAAATAATGCTGCCATGACAAATCTTTTACATATGTTCAGTGGTTGTGGAAGTGAGCAAATGCTTTAAAATGGGATTGCTAGGGCCAAGGATAGATACCAATAATCAGATATGTTACTGCTGAGTCTCCTCCTCTGGGACTATAGTGAATGACTACCACAACCTATCAATGCCTATTTTCCCATGCTCTCATGAACAGAGAATGTTATTAAGGAATTTGTCAATAAATGTTAGCTCAGCATAATTTTACTTTGCATTTTATTACTGAGTGAATGAGTATTTTTCACAAAGTTAAGGGAATATATCTTCCTGCTTCTACTATCTAGCTGTTCTGATTTTTCATTTCAGAAATTTTCTTTTTTGTGTGCAGTACTGGAACTTGAGATCAGGGCCTGGGAGTTGTTCGGAGATTTTTTGTTTGTTTGTTTTTGTTTTTATTTTTTTGTGCAAGGTTGGAACTCTGACCCTGGAGCCACAGCCCCACTTCTGGCTTCTTGGTGGTTAATTGGAGATAACAGATGCATAGGCATTCTTGCTGGGACTGGTTTTGAACTGCATTCCTGAGTAGCAAGGATTACAGACATAAGCCATCAGTACCCATAATTTCAGGGATTTTGATGACCAAGATTGTTAAGTAAGCCAGGTAGCCAGCTTTAGGGTGACAGAGGCAGATACTCTGTCACTCACTGCCAGCATGGGTATTCTCAAGAGACGTTGGTTCTTGACACATATTGTGACTTAAAAAGTCAAACTAAAAGAGACTTTTGAGATTAGCTGATCCAGTGTCCTCAAACTGAAGAAACAAAGGGGCAAGGGGACCATTCTTTCTATCACATGACAAGTTAGAAATAGACATGGAACTTGAACCAAGAGTCTTTTTCCCCAGGGCAACTTCAAATGAAAGTGCAAATAATTTCTTTGCTGACTTTTGGAGTTTTACTGAGATTACTTGAAACAATTTCTGGAGAGAGAAAATGTCCCTTATTGTTCTGATTCTTGTTCATTCTGATTATTATAAATACCATTGTATTTAATACTCATTTGCTACAGACGTATAAAAACATCTAAGTTCAGGCACTGGTGACTCACACCTGTAATCCTAGGTTCTCAGAAGGCTAATATCTGAAGATCAGTTTGAAGCCAGCCTCAGCAGGAAAGTCTGTGAAACTTTTACCTCCAATTAACCACCAAAAGCCAAAAGTGGAGCTATAACTCAGGGACAATGCCCATGCCTTAAGTTCAAGCCCCAGTACTGGCACCAAAATAGAAAATCTTAGAAAGTCAGAGCTGGATCAGATCCTTGGTGATAACGGAAATCACAGGAAAACCTGAGGTCCAGGTAAGCAGAGCACTGGATAAGCAGAAGAAACCAAGAAGGTCACTTTTAATAAAGGCTTGAATTTTAGAAATTTGATTGCCTCCCAAAAAAATACAAATACATCTTTGGTTGAATGACAACTCCTTTGTATAACTATCATTACTGCACTTTTAATGTGAAGATAGCTTTATTTGATAAATACATACGTTGGTGTTTTATATACCTAGAAGTTCCTTGAGAGATCTGTCCACTAAATAAGGTAGCAGCACAATGTAAACTGGAACCTAGGTTTGTTAGCTCCTGGACAGAGTGCTTTCTGAATTTTCTTGAGCCACATAAATTCATTTTTACTCACAGCATCATGGAGCCTATGTATCCATTTCACATGCCTATTTCAGAGTCTGTTGCCAGGCCTTCTAACTGGAATGCTTCTGTCTGATCTCCCCACCACACCAGGGCAGGAAGTTGATCAGAATCTTAACAATTCTCCTTTTTTTTTTCTTTTTTTTGTGTGCATGCCAGTATTTAGACTTGAACTCTGGGCCTGGGCACTGTCTCTGAGCTTTTTTGCATAAGGCTAGTACTCTACCACATAAGCCACAGCTCTACTTTTGTGGTTAACTGGAGATAAGAGTTTCAGAGACTTTTCCTACCTGGGCTGGCTTTGAACCATGAGCCTCAGATCTCAGCTTCCTTTGTAGTTAGGATATCAAGAGTGAGCCCTTGGTACCCAACTATAACTCTCCTTTCTTGAGAACCTCCTTTATGTCATGTGCTTTATTTGTGTTCATTCTAATCCAGATACTACCTCCATGATAGGCAATATAATTCTCCATGTGCATATGAGCAAACAGGACCAGAGACCAGAGACACTGGTCTTAGATTAGAAAACTAAGTAATGTAATTATTTAAATAAGTTGTAGATTCTAAACTAGGTTTATCTGAAAGTACAGCATGTGGACTAGACAGTCTTCTTCTAATTCAGTGTTACCCCTCAACTGAAGCAGGACAGGTACACAAAGACTGAAAGGAAGCATGCAAACATCTGCAGACCAGCTTCTGTATAATTCTACCACATGGCCTGGTCCACCAATAGGAACTCTTTCTGAAAACCTAGCAATAACTTACTTGACCAAGTGTCTTATGAGAAGTTCCAGCATCTCACGGTTCTTTTCTGGTAGCTTATATACTAGAGCATGAATAGCTCCAAGCCGGTAATCCAGGTTGTCAGACTCTGTCAAAAAGAACAATGAGAGAGAGGGTTTGGCTTTCTGGGCAATTAAACAAACAATTGTGCAAACTAATATGCCTACACCACATAAACATACACAAAGACACAGGTGGGGAGAATGACAAAAGACCCACAGGGACAGTCAGAAAGATGAGGAGAAACAGAGAAATAATCATAGAGATGCAATGACACCAAGAAATGAAGAGAAATATTCAAATATTCAAAAAAAGGCAAAAAGAAAGATAAAAACAAAGAAATAGTTCTAAAAGGATGAAGAAATAGAAGATAGATGAAAAAATGAAGGACAGTCTCAGAGGTGTGCAGGACTATGGCTAATTGTAAACTTCCAACAGGAAACCCTTTCCCACCCACATTCCCACAGAGCTGACTGACAGTATGCCTCTGGGTTTTGGTGATAACCATTGAGCTAACCCAGAAGCACATTTTGAAGCTACTGTGCCTCAACAACAAAGATGCAGTAAGAGGCCACAAAGACTGCAATGCAGGGAAAGAGTTGTGTCCAGATAGGAGAGTGGTAGTATCAGCCAAATCTCCTTTTGCTTCTTCATCTTCCAGGCGGTGTGATTCTATATGCCTTATTGCCCATGTGTTTTCTCGATTATATCATCTAGAAAATGGGCTACCATTGTTCATAGATAAGGGATCATTTGAGAGGGCAAAGTGCTGAAGAAAGTGGAAATGGCAGCTGTCATATAACCACTCTGCTGACCTGAGATAATGTGAGCTAGTGCTCTTATACAGAGGGAAGAACAATCAGCCAACCAACCAATAAATCAACCCATGCATCCATCTACCTATCCAGGTCTACACTCTCAAGTTAGCCAATTTCATCTATTCCCCTCAAATAACAACAATTTATTAAAAAAATTATCCAAATCTTGACTTAGCAAGTAGAAATATACTCATTTGGCAGTGGGTAAAATCTGCATTTATGCTTATGGGGTTTTAATCTTCAAACATTTTTCTAGGCTTATTACTGTAAATCTTCCCGAGACACCAGAACAATACACAATGAACTAGAAACATTAATACTTACTGGCAGCAGAGACCAGCTCTTTGTGAAGCTTATACGTCATGACAGGTTCAGAAAGATTCCTGAAATTAATGAAGACTGGTAAGTTCCTTTGGAGAGTCAATCACTGAACCCTGAATTCTCAGTTCTGTGGACAGTAAGGTGGAAGTTATTGAGCTCCATATCTTAATGTGATTATATATATTTCTCTCTTCATCTGAAGCTTCATCAGGGGTTTAAGATGTTAGGAATCCAACAAAAGACCCATAAAAATATAGGCTGAGATGTCCAGCACAGTCTCCAATTAGTGTTCAAAGTAAAAGAAAGTGCTAACCAGTTTTACAAAGTTCCAAAGTAGTCCCATTCTTCAAGCTATTCTGAACTCCTCACAATTAAATAGAACGGTAGAATTTCCAAGTACCAGTCTTCCCATGTCATCCTTGCAATGGTTCTGTCTGGTGGAGCAATTGCTCAAATCCAGACTTAATACAGAGAGAAACTGAGGTTCAAACAATTTTCTCCATTCAGAAAAAAATCATGAGTGAAGCAGTGTGCCAGGAGCTCACACTTATAATCCTAGTTACTCAGGAGCTGAGATCCGAGAATTGCAATTCAAAGCCAGCCCAGACAAGAAAATCTGTAAGACTCTTATCTGCAATTAACCACTAATAAGCTAGAAGTGGAGCTGTGGCTCAAGTGGTAGAATACTATCCTTGAGCACAAAAGCTCAAGGACAGCACCCAGGCCACAAGTTCAAGCCCAAGGAAGCACAAGAAAAATCACTGACTGAGAACCTACATTGTGTTTGGGAATCAAAGATGAATTAGATTTGGTCCTAATTGTAGAGGAGTCCATTCACAAACTTTTCAATGCTATGGAATATGTGCATAAAATAAAGCTTTGTGGGGAATTACTCAGAAGGAATTAATATAATAATAATAGCAAATGTTGCACTGTTTTAACTGACTTTCATGTTTTAAACCTATTAAACTCTATGATATCCTAGCGTAGTAGTAACTGTGATGGTTTTTCTATTCTCTAGATGTGGAAAGTAAAGATTACACAGGTAAGCGGCAGAACCAGGTAGTCTGTCTCCAGACTCAGTGGTCATTTTTATGTGTATGGCAGTACCAAAGTTTGAACTTAAGAGTCTTGTTCTCACTTGGCTTGCTTGCTTAAGGCTGTGTTCTCCCACCCAAGCCATGCCTCCAGACAAGATTTCTGATATTTTATTTAAATTTTATTAAGTAGTTGGACAAAGGGTTTTCAATTCCACAAGTCAGGTTATAAGGATACTGCATCTTGATCAATGTCACCTTTTACATCCTTTTCCCCCATCTTTGCTGGTTATTTTGGAGGTGAAGTCTTGTAGATTTTTTGCCCAGGATAGCTTCAAATAATGATCCTCCAGATCTCAGCTTCCTAAGTAGTTAAGATTACAAACACGAGCCACAAGTACCTAAGATCAATGCTCTCAATCATTTCACTGTACAGTCTGTAACTGTCTGTAGCTGTCGAGGTGACAGAACATAAAGATCAACACAGAAATAGTGGAAATACAGATAGAAGAGAAAGGTAAATTGAGTACACTAAAGCTATTAAGGACAGAATTCCTCCATTGATTGGAGATGATGTTGAAGGAGAGAGTAATCTGGTTAAGTGGAATTCAAATTGCTTAAGAGAGAACTGGAGATCCTGAAGCACACAAGCATGTGAATTAGCAAGGGGAAATGTTTCCCGAGAAGCTGGATGCAGGATCCTTCTCCATCTGAGAGGAAGTGGAAATCAGAAAGCTTGCAAGACCTGTTTCAATATACCAGTGGAGTGGTAAGTCAGATTGGGATGGGTAGGAGAGTGCCATGTGGGGTTAAGAAGCTCAGACAGGCTGGATGCTGGTGGCTCATGCCTATAATCCTAGTTACCCAGGAGGCTGAGATCTGAGAATCACAGTTCAAAGCCAGCTTGGGAAGGAAACTAATCACCAAAAGCAGTAAGTGGAGCTGTGGTTCAAGTGGTAGAGGACTAGTCATGAGCAAAAATGCTCAGAGACAATACTCAGGCCCTGAGTGCGAGCCCTAGGTCCCCCAGCTCCCACACAAAGTAGTACACACAAAGCATACATGTTACATGTTAAAAAAGCCTAGCTGGAAGGGGTTGAGTTAGACAATCTTGTCTAAACTCCTGGCTCTATCTTCTCTAGATTCAATTATTCCCAAATTTGTAAGTCAGACTCAGAACTCATCACTGAGTTTCAATTTTCTATATTTAATTTCCTGATTATGATAATCTCATCTGACATAACAAAACTCCCTCAAATTTGATTATGTTCCTGTGCTTCTCCAATTAGTAAGCACATGCCCATCATTTGACGGGATGGCCCAGAAATGGGGAAGTCAATATTTATTCTCCTTTCTCCAATTCTCATATTTACTTCACCAACTTTATTTCCTAAATCTCTTGCATATACTTATTTCCACCAATTTCTATTGCCACTTCCTTATCCAAGCAGTAGCATCACCTTTTGCCTGGATCACAGAAAACAATAGCCTGCTAACTGATTTCCACCTCTACCCACTTAGACTCCTAACGTAATTCCCACACTATTTTTTCCAAAATATAAAACTCATCATGTAACCCCCCCACTTACAATATTTCAATATAACATCATTACTCTGTGTGTGTGTGCGCGCACGTGTGTGCGCGCGCGCGCACATGCCAATCCTTGGATTTGAGCTCAGGACCAAGGCGCTATTCCTAAGGTTTTTGCTCAAAATTTGTGCTCACCACTCTACTTTTAGCTTTTTGGTGAGTAATTGGAGATAAGAGTTTCACAGATTTGTCTAAGAGACCAAGCTGGCTTTGAACCATGATCCTTTCATCTCAGCCATCTAAGTAGCTAAGCTCATTATTTTTTAAGTAAATCTGAAAATTGGGGATATGGTTCAAGTGGTAAAGGGTAAGAGAGACTGCTTAGCAAGTGCAAGATCCTGAATTCAAACTCTAGGACTACCTTCCTCCCAAATAAACACATAAAGTAAATTTAGATTCTAATTTTTTAAATACCCTATGAGCAATACCATTCTGGTCCCTACATACCTTCTCCTCCTCTACATATACTCAATACTTCACCTAAAGTCGTTCATGCACTTTCTTTTCTTTATTTTCTAACTGGGAATTGAACGCAGAGCCTATAAGCATAGGCAAGTTCTCTAACACTTGAGCTACAAATCCAGGTTTTTTGCTTTTAGATTTTTTTTTTAGATAGGGTTTTATGCTAACTTTCCCAAGGATAACCCTAAACAGTGATCTTCCTGCCTCAACTTCTTGAGTAGCAAGGATTACAGGTATACATCATCATGCTCACTGAACCCCGTAGGTTTTGAATGGAACTTCCTGACTTCTGACTCAAGATTTCACGATAGATAGATAGATAGATAGATAGATAGATAGATAGATAGATAGATAGATAGATAGATAGATAGATAGATAGATCCCTTTAACTGGAACTATCACCTCAACTGATCCCAATTTATAGTTAAACTCAAGTTTAAGTAATCAGAATAGGTCTGGTCTTCCTAGTAAGTGCTTTCATAGCATGCCATACCTCTCCCTTCAGAGCACTTAGCATATTTTTAGATATTTCTATTATTAGTTGTCTTTTGTCAAGGCAATAAACTCTATAAAGTCAGAGATCACAGCTACTCACAACTCTGTCCCTAGTGATTTACATCTGTCATGGCATGGGGGAGACACTGAGAAAGTATGAAATGATTTAGTGACTTAGAGGCATGCAATACTGGTTAAGTACTTACACAATGATACAAAAGAGCCAGTTATATGAGAGATGTGAAGGACCCAGGAGAGGAAAAGGGTAAGAGAAATGCCTTAAAAAGGAGCTAAGGGTTGATTTAGGAACCTAGAGAGCAGAGAAAGACAAACTCTGGGGGTGAGATGGGAAGGGATGGGAAGGGGAAACAAAGGAGGAGGCTACAATGCTTGATAAGAAATGTACTCATTATCTTGCCCATGTAATTGTAACCTCTCTGTACAGTATTTTCACAATTAAAAAACACTCTGGGAACAATGCTGCCTGTGAGAATCTAAACAGTGTTGACAAATGGGCAAATAGGACAGGCCCATAGCTAAGGATCTCTACTAGGAGACAGTCTCCCACTGCCAGGCATGCTCTTCCTTCTTTCCAAAGAGCTTCGCGACTAATTATGAGATATGCAAGGCATGATGTCAATGTGTTCAGTCAAATAAACAAATAAACATTCACCATTGAAAAGAGCAAATCAGTGCAAGAATGACAGAGAAACAGAATCACTCCTGCTATCCTCCTCAACCAGAGTCTTCTAAAAGCCCTCATGGAAAACAGGTCTTTATTCAGTCACCTAAACCACCCAAAAAAGGCCACAACCCCTGGGAATAGGAGTCAGGGGAAGAAAATGCCCCAATCCTAGTAGCCTGGTAACTCAGAAATAACATGAAAATAATAACATTTAGTAAGGGAGGGGGACTATAGATTTCTCATTTGTAAAATGAATATGGAAACATCTGTGGGACAGAGTATTCGTTTTGTTTTTGTTTTTTAAATGATAAAGGCTCAAAGCCAGCCCATGTAGAAAAGACTGTGAGACACTTATCTTGAACTAACCACCAAAACGCCAGATGTGGGGGTGTGGCTCAAGTGGCAGAGCACTATCCTTGAGTGTAAAAGCTTAGGGACAGGGCCCAGGAACTGAGTTCAAGCCCTAGTACCAGCTTACTTGCACGTGCGCGCACACACACACACACACACACACACACACACACACACAATAATGGGTTTAATATTTAACTCCTTTTAAAGAAAATAAACATATTGGCTGGGAATGTGGCTTTGTGGTAGAGTGCTTGCCTAGCAAACATGGAGCCCTGGGTTCGATTCCTCAGTACCACATAAACAGTAAAACCATAAGTGCTAGCCTTGAGCAAAAGAAACTTAGGGACAGTGCCTCAACTCTGAGTTCAAGCCCCAGGACTGGCAAAAACGTAAAAGAAAAGAATTATACTAGTCAACACAACAATAAATTCAGCAACAATCTGTATCCCCAAATTTTGTCCATAAGTTAATTTATATTACTACTATTGCTTCATTTAGGTCTAACAATTTTATTCTTACATTTTCTTGGTTTGGTTTTTATTTCCATCCTTATGGAGTAAAGAATAAAAAGTAACCTACCTCCCACTCCCACTCCCTCTCTCTCATATGCATATACATTATTCTTTTACCAATCCAATTTGATGTCTCAAACGCTTGTTATCAACTAAAGCATATGTGCACTGAGGAATGACCACATTTAATGATTTTACTAGTAAATCCAGCATAATATCAACTCTCAGTAAACAATGAAAAATTTATTTCAAAAAGTATGATTTTTATAATATATCTTCAGACATTTTCCAATAAATCTTCCAAACTTTATGTATTCCTTGCTTACATTATCAGATTTTTTTTAAGTCTTGTAATGATAGACAGAGTAGTATATGCTTATAATCTAAGCATTCGGGAAGTTGAGGCAGGAGAATCATGAGTTTGAGGTCACCCTGGGCTCTAAAGCAAGTTCTAGGATAGCCTAGGCTACAAAGCCAGGGCCTGTTTCAAAAACAAAAACAAAAACAAGCTGGGCACTTGTGGCTCATGCCTGTAATTTTAGCTGCTTAGGAGGGTTGATATCTGAGGATCGAGGTTCAGTCAGCCTGGGCAAGAAAGTCCATGAAACTCTTATCTGCAATGAATCACCAGAAAACCAGAAGTGGAGCTATGGCTCAAGTGGGAGAGTACTAGCCTTGAGCAAAAGAGTTCAGGGACAGTGGCGAGGCCCTGAATTCAAACCCCATGACTGGCCTTTAAAAAAAAGGGGAAAGGAAGGGAAAGGAAGGAAAGGAAAGGGAAGGGGAGGGGAGGGGAGGGGAGGGGAGGGGGAGGGGAGGGGAGGGGAGGGGAGGGGAGGGGAGGGGAGGGGAGGGGAGGGAAGGGAAGGGAAGGGAAGGGAAGGGAAGGGAAGGGAAGGGAAGGGAAGGGAAGGGAAGGGAAGGGAAGGGAAGGGAAGGGAAGGGAAGGGAAGGGAAGGGAAAGGAAAAATAAGCTGGGCACCAGTGGCTCACACCTGTAATCCGAGCTATTCAGGAGGCTAAGGTCAGAGGATGGAGGTTTGTAGCAAGCCCAGGCAAGAAAGTCAGTGAGACTCCAATTAATCACAGAAAAAGCCAGAAGTGGTACTGTAGCTCACGTGGCAGAGTGTTAACTATGAGCAAAAAGAAACTTAGGGAAAGTACCCAGGGCAAGAGTTCAAGTTCCAGGACTGGCAAAAGAAAAAAGAAAAGCAAATAAAGTGGGACAGCAGTAGCTTACACCTGTAATCCTTGCTACACAGGAGGCTGAAATCTAAGTATCACAGTTTAAAGGCAGCCTGAATAGGAAAATTCATGAGACCTTTATCTCCAATTAACCAGCAAAAACACAGAAGTAGAGGTGTGGCTCAAGTGGTAGAGCATTAATGCCCGGAGCAAAAATGCACAGGGAAAGCAGCCAAGCCCTGAGTTCAAGCCCCAGGACCAACACAAACACACACACACACACACACACACACACACACACACACACACACACACACACACACACACACACACACACACACACACACGAAAAAGAAAAATAGTCTTCCCATGTGTCTTCTTTGACAGAAACCTCTTGGATCTCTGAAGACGTAGCAATTTTCCAACTTTCCAAAAATGGAACACAATTCTAATCGCGACCCAATTTTCATCAGCTATAGAAACCAAATAAGACTTACCTGAGGTAGAATTTCAAGGAGCTGGTGATTGTCTTGGTGTCCCAATCACTACTGTGAAAATCAACATCTCCAGGACATTTGGGATCTAATGGTGAAAAGTTAACAAGAAAAAAAAGTTGATTTTCAAAAAGATCTTACTTTTCTTTTCCTTGAGAAAAAAGTTATCTAGGAGTACCTTTAATTCTTACTTTAATCATTCATGTTCCTTTTAAATATCATATTCCTGTCTTACTGATATAATATTATTACAAGGCATTCAACAGATGAATTATCCCAATGGACAATGAGTCACCCATACTCTTCACTCTCTTTTTTGTATTTACCTAGTTATTCAGAGGTTTCAAATCAACAAATCAGTGCATCTTGACCGGTCACCCCTTTTTTCATTCTCCCCTATCATTCCCAATGCCCCCATCCCCTCAAGTTACCTGGTTCTATTTTCACATATGCACACTGAATATCATAACTTCATTTATCCACCCTTCTTCTATTCATTCATCTGCCCTCCTTCCACTTTCCTAGAGATCCTACTTTTTACCACCTTAAAAAATTAAGCATATTAGGGCTGGGAAGGTGGCTCAGTGGTAGAATGCTTGTCTTGCATGCATGAGACCCTGGGTTCGATTCCTCAGCACCCCATAAGCAGAAAAGGCCAGAAGTGGTACTGTGGCTCAAGTTGTAGAGCACTAGCCTTGAGCTGAAGAGGTGAGAGACAGCTCCCAGGCCCAGAGTTCAGGCCCCATGACCGACCCACAAAAAAAATATAAGCGTATTAAAAAGTATAGTTACTCAAGTAAGTTTTCAAGAAATAAAAATTTTACAAGTCTTTCATGTCTCAAAACTCCCATTGTTTTCTGGCCCAGCATGCGAAAAGCTTAGAATTCATCTCTTCCAGCTACAGGACAATAAAAGCACTAACATACTGCAAATCAACTCTTCATAGAGTCCCCAGAGAAGTGGAGGCCTCAGAAAAACTGTAGCTATTACCAGGGAACAAACACAGACTGAAGAATCAGAAACTTCAGTACAGAAAACGCCTCAGAACAGGAAAACGTCAGGCTCAACATATATGAGTTTGAGAGTTTAAAATTCCTCCGAGGCACAATACTATGAAAAGCCTTGTATGTTCTTGAGTTTGACCTTGAAGAATTCTATTATAGTCTCATAGTGAAGATCTGAGGAACATACTCTCCTGTTTCCATACTTCTGATAAGGTTAGGAGAGGAGAAGCTCTGTGTGTGTGTGTGTGTGTGTGTGTGTGTGTGTGTGTGTGTGTGTGTACACTGGTACTTGTGCTTGAACTGAGGGAATGTCATTCTCTCAGCTTTTTTGTTCAAGACTGGATCTCTGCCACTTGAGGAGAAGCTGTGTGTGTGTGTGTGTGTGTGTGTGTGTGTGTGTGTGTGTGTGTGTGTGTGTGTGTGTGTGTGTGTGTGTGTGTACACTGGTACTTGTGCTTGAACTGAGGGAATGTCATTCTCTCAGCTTTTTTGTTCAAGACTGGATCTCTGCCACTTGATCCACATTTCCACTTCCCACTTTTGGGTAGTTCATTGAAGATAAGAGACTCACAGACTTTTATTCCCAAACTGTAATCTTCAGATCTCAGTCTCCTGAATAGCTAGGATTACAGGTATGAGCCACCTGCACTTGGTAAAACAAGCCCTTTTAAATAGGTCCATAATCTTCTGTCCTTAACAGTCCTCTCAAGAGAAACTATTTTCGTGTCGAACCTGAAGCAGGAATTCAGGGCCTAGGTGCTGTCCCTGCTTTTTTTTGTCGGCCTGGGGGCTTGAACTCTGGGTCTGGGCACTGCCCTTGAGCTCTTCAGCTCAAGGCTAGTGCTCTACCACTTGAGCCACAGCACCATTTTTTTGCTTTTCTTGCTTATGTGGTGCTAAGGAATCGAACCTAGGGCCTCATGCATGCAGGCAAACACTACCACTGAGCTACCTTCTTCTCTGCCCCGCTTTTTTTTTTTTAACTCAAGGCTAGAGCTTTACCACTTAACCCACAGCTCTACTTCTGGCTTTTTGGTGGTTAATTAGATATGAGTCTCATGGACCTTCTTGCCTGAGCTGGCTTCAAAACATAACTAAGAACTCAGCACCCTTAGTAGTTAGGATTACAAGCATGAACCTTCTGTGCTTGGTAAGAGAACCAATTTTGCCAGACCCTAACGTATCATTGTTTTAGCAGAACTTCACTCATATGGATAAGAGGGAAACATTCAACTACAGCCCCAGCCTGTCTCTCAGTCTCAGGAAAACATCTGGTAAGGTCACAGGCCAGGCTCCTTGAAAGACAATGGCATTATGAGAAGACTTACAGAACACTCGTATTCTCCTGATACCTTACCACCACATATGTAGGGATACTGTACAGTACTAAGGACATTGTGATGAAAAAATGGAACAAAATGGTAATCACAAAGTCTCTATGGAAAAATCAAAATAAAATCAAAGAAACAAGATGAAAAGCAGAGGAAAATGTAATATTTCCTATAGCTACCACAAACAGTAAACAGTATGTTTATCAGGCTAAATCCTAAGCAGATAAACTGAAAACCTCATACTAAAGCCACAAGTACCTCAATTACATGCCCTTTACCCATAACATCATATCTGGCTGGCAATCAAAAACTTAACAGACATACTAAAAGGCAGAGGGCTGGGAAGGTGGCTCAGTGGTAGAATGTTTGCTTTGCATGCATGAGGCCCTGGGTGCGATTCCTCAGCACCACATAAGCAGAAAAAGCCAGAAGTGGCGCTGTGGCTCAAGTGGTAGAGCACTAGCCTTGAGCTGAAGAGCTGAGGGATAGCACCCAGCCCAGAGTTCAGGCCCCACGACCAAAAAAAAAAAAAAAAAAAGAAATCCATTCTAAAAGGCAGAAAATGGCATGAACAGGCATAGCAAACCTCAGATATGGAAGAGATGTTGAGATTATCAGCCCAATGAGTTAATATGATAAGGTCTGTATTAGATGAAAGTATATAGCATGAAAGGGGAAATAAGTAATATAGGAGAAAAAAACCCCAAGAAAGAAGTAAAAGAACATTCATGAATCACCAACATTCTAAAAGAAAGGAAGAGTGCTCTAAAGGCTCATCAACATGCCTGAAGAAATAACAATGGGCACTTCCAAAACTGAAACACAAAGAAAAGATTATAACAACAGAACAAATTAGATAATCAGGAAAGTTGTTAAATACATGTGGTGAGAATACCAGAGGAGATTAAAGATGAAAGTGAAACAAATATTTGAAGTAAAAAGAACTAAGGATTTCCCAAAACTGATTACAAATGTCAAAACACACATGCAAGAACCTCAGAGAAAACCAAGCAGGATATATACCAAGAAATCCAAACCACAGCTTAATATATTCAAGCTTTTTTTAAAAAATGAAGGAAAAATACTGAAAGAAGCTAGAAGAAAATCCAACACTTGTTATAGAGAAAAGGGTGAGAATTACACTGTACCTCTCTACAGAAATTATGCAAGCAAGAAGAAAGTGGAATAAAATACTAAAAGTGTTCAAAGAATACCAACCAAGTAGAGGAATGCATATGCATGATCCTAAAAGTAGGAGCAAGGCAACAGAGGCAGAGGAATCATAAATTCAAGGACAACTTCTACTTTATAGCAAAACCCTGTCTCCCAAAACCAAGAATTGTGAATATACCACAGTGGCAGAATACTTGCCTAGCACGTGCATGACTGAGTTCCAACTCTAGTGAAAAAGGGTATTTTAAACTCAAACACCCAGTAGATTGTTCCCCATATTCAAAGTGATCAGTCTAATCAGCATAGGCATCTGCCTCAGACTCTCTTCTTAGTGTAGGAAAAAATACTTGGAAATAATCTGTCTCTCAGCTTTTCTTCAAGGAAAGGAGGAACTGGAATGCACTTCTAACATTCTACCTTTTCCAGCTGAATATTAAGACATGCAACCCTCTCTAAGGGGCAGTTAGAAACTATTTTTGCTTAAAAAAAACATTGGTTCATCCACTGGGCTTGCAAATATCAAAAGGTAACTAAAAGCAAGAGAATTTTGTGGCATCTATTGCCTCCATTTTGCGTGAGTCTCTTTGCTCTGAGCTATTCTCCCCCACAGTTACCCTGGGTACCAGAAAGGCATCTATCATTGAAAAGAGTTGAAACTAACCCTTTTTCATACTGACAGGACCCACTTGAACAATCTTGAGATAATCAATCAGACCATTGTCCCAATTCTTCCCCTATTTAATTGTAAAGTTCATTCTCAACCCAGAGGGTGGGCAGAGATGCTTACTTTCCCTTTATGCCCACCATGCCAGGGTAACAAATCTCCTTTCTCTGGAAACTGTCTTATAAAGGGCAATGGGAGACATAGAAATAGAGGGACAAAGGGTGGACAAATGCAGCAGTGGTACTCACTAGACACTATGTTGAAAATGAACTATACAGTCTGTGGGTGGGGATGAAAAGGGAAAACTGGGAGAGAGAAAAGAAATATATGCCGAGCGCCAGTGACTCACGCCTATAATCCTAGCTATTCAGGAGGCTGAGATCTGAGGATTGTGGTTCAAAGCCAGCCCAGGCAGAAAACTCCATGAAACTCTTATCTCCAATAAACCACCAGAAAACCAGAAGTGGCGCTGTAGGTCAAGTGGTAGAGCGCTAGCCTTGAGCTGAAGAGCTGAGGGACAGCGCTCAGGCCCAGAGTTCAAGTCCCATGACCAATTAAAAGACAAACAAACAAAAAGAAATGTACTCATTACCTGACTCATGAAATGGTAACCTCTCTGTATATCACTTTTATAACAACACTAAAAATATAATAATAAAAGTAATAAAAGTAAATCTCTTTTTTCTACCCTTCCCCACTATTTATCTCCTACCTGGTTTTTTGGGTGACTAACTAGACCTGGCTTTTAAAAGCATTGAAGTTTGGCCTCTGGCCTAGGAGTGAGGTTATAATTCCATGAGTGAAGCAGGAAAAAGTAAAAAAAAAAAATCTAAACAGGCCAATAACAAGGAAATTAATCAGTAATAAAAATAACCCTCCAATTAAAGAAAAGCTTCATTGGACTGGGTAGGTTTAC